AAAAATTTCCAACATTAACTTGTGAAAAATTGAAAAATTACATCTTCCAATATGAAGATTAATTAAATTTCAATCACAAGTTTTGAACTTTTAGGACTTTAATCAACTCAAAAATGATTAAATCCAAAAATTAGTTCAACATGGAATTTAGAAATCAAAGTTCCAACCAAATAAACAATTAAATATTGGATCTTTAACATATTAGGGACTTCAAAATTACACATTCACCATAAACATTCACACTTGAAGCAATTAATTTGCAAAATTGTGGAATTTCAAGTTTATGTGAAAAATGAGCTTACCAAATCAAACACCAATTATGACTTCATAAACATGCTTAATAAGGTTTATTATAGCAGTAGATAAGTGATGCAACCATACATTTAATCTACCTTTAACATGCCATAGTTAATTAAGGTTCAAAGATTCAAAAAATTTCGTCAAAAACGAAAAACCCTTCGAAAAACATGTTTCTGGGTGGATTTTGGCTTCTGGACAGCTCTTTAGAAGGGTCAAAAACAATTTGGTACATCAATTCCACCCAAAAATCACTATTTTTGAGTCGAAATCTTGGTTCATGAGCCAAAATTAGTAAAATACGAGATTAAAGCTAATTAAAAACGAGCTTCTAATCTAATTAGAAAGCAAAACCAGAAATTTAAATCCATTTTAAATAACCTCAATTAATTATTAGTTACAATAATTAAAATAAGCGCGGCTCTGATACTACTGTTGGGTTTCGTAGTGTCCGACAATACGCGGAAGAGACACCCGCCCACTAATTAAAGCAACTAAACATGCAATCACATAATTAAACAACAAAAGAGATAGAAAGAGAAATGACATTCTTACCCTTGGCGCGTGCTTCACTCGCTTACGAGCTCTTACTTCAAAGCTCTAGCCTCGCAAGTGCGAAGGCCCCCAACAGCTCGCACCCTCGACCCGACCCTAGCGGTCTTTATCCCAAAGGTTAGTCGGGACTTGACCAAAGATAAACTAGAGTATTACGAACTTAAAGGTTTTCTCACTAATGATGAGATGCCTTATTGAGTTCAACTCAAGCGTTTTTTCACAAACCCAAAACTTGGGTATTTATAGGGAAGGGAGCCTTGCGCTGCGAGTGTGCAAGAGTGCTGCGATGCGAGGCCCAGCCCCTTGTGGCTGATGCTGCTATGCTAGCACGCATCGCCACAGCACATCACGCATAGCACGCTGCTGCGATGCTCGTGCTAGTGATGATGCGGCTGGTGCTACTATGCTAGTAAGCACGCACAACCATGCCTGCATAGCCACAACACACACACGCATGGCACGCAGCTTGCGATGTGCGTGTGCTGGGCAATGCTAGGCATGCTAGCACGCATGCGGTTTGGGACCTCGCCTAGCCTAGCACTCGCATGGCTAGGCCAATGCGATGCTACGGCTTGACTCGTACTTGTCGCTTGCTTGATTCCACGTCTCGTCAAATTCCGAATTCGACTCGACTTATGACGCTCGGTTTTGACGCTCTAAGCTCGATATCCGACGTCTTTGTTCGTAATACTCTAATGACTCATCTAATCCTTTGGATTGATTCGTTGTCTTGGATCGATTATTCGATTGGGGTGCAACCCGAAGGGTTCAGTTAAGATTAAGCCGTAATATTATTACATTAATATTACTGATCGGAAGTGGCCTCCACCTAGGCATTCAGATCACTTGACCTCACTGAAGAATTAACTTTCTAATAATTCCGAATCCTCTATCGGAATAATACACTTGTTGGAAGGATATCATTCCTTTCACCGTGCCCGTGCCGATTTTCCAAAATTGTGTTCACGGCACGGCCCACGGCCCACTCCTTGGTCACCATGCCGTATTGCTGGCGGGCTCGTGCCTGGCCGTGCCACCACCGTGCCATGCTCGTGCCGCCCGTGGGCCAGCACGACCCATGCCCACCTCTTCTCCATACGTTATAAGTGTTTCTAAGGATAAAATTTATGATATAAAAATGGTAACTTTTGTAGTATATATATGAGCAACTTTAAATACTTTTAGGGTAAATTTAACCTGTTTTTACAATAACTTAATGAAATTTCGTCTTAATCAAGAATAATTTGTGCAATTCGAATGTCACACACACTGATGAGTCTCGAGCCTGATCAATCATAATTGGCTTGAAAAGTGTGTGGGTTTAGGTTTGGATAAGCCAAAAATTAAGTTTCTTGGTCAAAGCTCAAACTAACCTGAAAAAAGTGCAAGTTTGAATAGGCAAATATACAAGTTTTTAAATCTAAACCCGAAAAAAAAAAAAAAAATCTCCTATAACAAGTTTGGTTATGCTATTTTGGAATAAATTAATAAAAGTACTAACCGATATTTGATTTGAGTATAATTAGGAGATTAAGGACCTTTGGGGTAGGGGTGCGCAAAATTGTTCTATCTAACTAATCAATATGAAAATCTGGTGATTTGATCCAAAATTTCGAATACTTTTTGCTTTGGATATTTGGAATATGTCGAATCGTATACTCGAAAAATTCTGGTTTTGAGATTAGATAGAGATCGAAATTTTCTTGTAAGATATACGAAGTATGAGATATCCTTAATAAAAACAAAATTGGGTTTTTAGATCAAATGCATATTTTTTAATAATCAAATAGGAGTTCGATGTCTCTTCACAAATCCCCAAGCTATTGGTTATTAGACTTTCTTTAATCTTGAAGCACTATTTAATAATATAATTTAGATCTCGGCATATACTCGAGTCAAGCCAACATCATTAACATGCGACGTTTTATCCCTCGTTGTTGTCCCTAAGTCACAAATTTAAACCTTTATATATTCTCGATCCTTGCCAATCCCATTTTGTCAGTCTTTTACAGACTCTCTTACTTTGTTGATAGTCTCAAATGGACTTTATGTCATCCAAGCATTCAACTAAAGCATTCCCGATGGGGGCTTACTTCTTTTGAAAATCTTATACAGATTCAGCTACACCTTTGATCTACACCAATAAGACTTAAAGGTCCACTAACTAATATAGATAGGAAAGTTAGGGAAGAACTATAGTGAGTCAACTTCTTCATAATTGTCAACTACATCTAGATTATAAAAAATGGTTTTGTTGTTAATGTTAAAAATAATAATTACGTAAAGAATAATAAAAGAGAACAAATAAAAAAAATAAATAAAAATAAAGCTTAGGACATAGGTTCACCATATGAATGAAAATCGGGGATAAATCAAGAATCATATAAACAAAAATACGGACATACTTTCTGTTTTAGGTGTAAACAATGGGTCTTTCGGATGGACCTTTCTTGTAGGTTGAAGACTGGACTCGGCCCAAGTGACGACTGGGACGAGAATTTCCTACACAGCAAACACACGTAAACTGCCCTCGGGGGTTGTGCCGAGGAAGACCCCTCTGATGTCGAAGTAAGTGCAGTGTTTAGAGAGAGAAAGTTATGCAAGAGAATTAATTGCTTGAGGCTTAATATGAATGAATTGAGAGAGAGAGAAGTGAAGACTTTTATACCTTACTCAAATAGCTTTAATGGGTCTCTTTGCCATGTGGGCTTGCCACGTTGATTGGGTCTGCTTTGACTTACTTGGCGTGCTTTGGAGAGTTGAACCTTCTTTGGGCTTTTAATTTGAACATTTGTGGACTGACCCAACTAGAGTAAATTGGACCCAAACAACTTGTCCCCAGACTTAGTTCGGAATTTTGACGAAATGAGTTTTGACTTGCAAATTGGAGGGAAGCAAATGATTTAATTAAAATTTGAATTTTTGGAGTTATTGAGGCAATAACGGTTGTTTAGTAGTTAATGGGGGATATGGAGAGTTTAGTGGGTAGTTATTTTGGGAGGTAATTGGAAAGGTGGAGTCATGAAGTGGAGCTAGAAGGGTTTTTATGGCGCGAACTGTAACACCCTAGAAATTTCTTTCCTTTAAAATAACTGTTTTGCTCTTTTTAAAATACGAAATAGGAAAATCTAAGACCTTATTGCCACCGTGAAAACGGCTAAGACAATTATCAAAGACACACAACGGAAGACTCACTTTAAAAACCATTCAAAACAAGTCAACTCAAAAGTCAATCCAAACGAAAGTAAAGTCAAACCAAAGTCAACTTACAACTTGGAACCATTAAAGGCCCTTTTCAAAATCCAAAACAAATATTAAAACTTTTGTGTTAGTCTCACAAGCATATATATATATAATAATCAAAGCAAATAAAACACATCATATTCGTTGACCCTCCGCGTCGAGAGACGCCACTCCAACCTTCCGGGACAGAGATAGCACCTCAGTGTGCAATTGTTGCACCATCTTCTCCACTGCTCCAGCAGCCAACTGATTTTGTCGAGCTATTTTTAACTGATTTTGTCGAGCTATTCGTTGGCTCAACTCAGCGTCACGGTGTGCGAGGTCTTGTCGGATCATTTCAACAGCAGCGGTGATTGCTTGTGCAATCTTAGAGACCACGGACCCAAATTCTGTCTCCAGGGCCTCAAAACACTGCGCATTAGTGGGGGGGGGGGGGCATTTTCCGGTCGCCGGAATCGTCTGTGATACCAATTTACTAGGAATCAGTAAGAGTGAGAAAGAGTGTTGATTTTTTTGATAGAGTAACAGTTAGCCAACCTTCTTTTGAGAGGAAGGAGCTCTCCCCAAGCCTAAGCTTTCTATATAATTTTCTGGATACCCATTCTTGCATCCATGCACTGCTATTTAAACTACTATTCCTTCTACACAATTCTAGCTTACATTCATCCCCCTTCCCTAACAGAATTTTATTCTTAAAACAAAAAGACTAATAAAGCCCTCAACAAAAATAACAGAATTGCAACAGAATCTAGAAGCATTAAGACAGGTCAGCTCTCCTCACATTCTTCCATCAGCCTTCTTACGTCTTGAGTAAGTAGCCACAATAGGGGGTCTAGGCCCATTCCTTGCAAATTGTTTGTATTTTACACACACACAAACCTACTCATTATTCATTATTTCCCCTATGGAATAGATGAGTACTTCTTTAACCAAAAATTGGGATTCCTCAGCTTCTTACAGTAAATCACCACAATAAATTGAACTAGATATAATGATAATCAACAAGAAAAATGAGATTGGGAAGAACTGTCAACAATCATAGATTTCCCAATCGTGGGAATTGACTCTAGCACTAATCTATATCTACATTTCTGTGTCTAAGCATGCTTTTACATTATAAGCTATAATCAATTCTCCCAGTTCACGGGTTTAGATTACAGTCTTGTGCGTGAAGGATCCTCTGTTCTGTTTCTCCTTTGGAAGACAAATTTGCCTTCAGAGTAAACCAGTGAGGGTAGCAGCCAACTTCATGGAACCAGCTTTTGAAAGACAGTTTTATCTCTACCACATCGAAGGAACATAAACTTGCTCCTTAAGATTTTGAGTGGCACTTTCAGTTGGAAAACCCCTCACTGCCCCAATTGTCCATTGTGATATAATGCCAGCAGCAATAGCAAAGCGAAGCTGCCTCTCCAAAACATCCTGATCTTCATACATCTCAGGGTGACTAGTCAGTTTCCTCATAATCCCAGCCACAATTGCGTCACCAGATCCAGTTCTATCGCAAGTAAATGGGGTTATCAACACATCTTCTGTTCCAACCACAACACCATCAAAAGATGGGGCATAGTAATGAATTCGAAGTGTACCATCCGTTACAAAAAGAAGCTTAAGTCCATCATGCCACAATGGAGATATTTCTTCACGTGTGTAGTGGTAGTAATCCCTCCTGTCTTTACTCTGTTCGTAATTTTCAGCATAGTACTGAGGTCGGTAATTTTTCCTCCTCTCATAATGATCTTCATCTAAAAGAAACTCCAGCTCTTGCCTGCTAACCTCAATGATATTTGCTTCCTCCCAAGCTTGCTTGATGATTTCTCTTGTCTCGTCACGTGACTTCCACAAGGGCAATGGAAGATTCAGATCAAAAAACACAAGGCCTCCAAACTTTTTGGATATGTTAATAGCAGTGAAGAGGGTGGAATGCATTGGAGGTGATGTCAAGACTTCTGAATTGAAATGAAAGATCCTAGCCTGTTCATAAATCATATAGCAAGAATAAGCATAATCCTAAATGATACAGTGACATCGACTATCAACATTCAATCCTCCTCCATTGAGTCATGACCTTCATTCATGTTAAGTTCACAAAAGAGACAAGACTAACAAAATTTTAAAAGCAGGAAATTTTCCTTCAAATTCTTGGCTTATAAACAGAATATAAACAATGGCAATTGATTATATGCCATGTGTTTTACTTCTTCCAGCAATTCCTTGTCTAAACAATACTTCGTATTTGATGTCTTCTTCACTTTGTTTTTCCTCTCAAAAATTTCCCATTAATTTAACATATCTTTAATCAAAATAAGAACACATTTTGCATCATTAAGTACTGAATGATTAATACGTTTGTACAAAGTGAATTCAATATGTAACTCGGGAACAACTGAAAATTTACAAATAAAATCATCCGAAAAGATTCTCACAACAATCACTACTCCAACCAAGAATGGTATCTGAACAATAATGCTCATTTGGTGAAGGTAATATTAATATGTTTTAGAAATTGACAATGCTCTCATAACAGCTATAACTAAGGTTTTTGAAAAAGCTCATTTCAGTTGGTACTACATTTTCCACTCATTCAATCAATATAAAAAACTATCAGAATAGTTGACACACTATGCTAGTAAACTTTGATAAAATCAAGCTAACATGCTCTAATTATAATGGAATTACCTCTTTCAGAACAGCTAAATTCAACTCTGAGGCGACCAAGGAATCCTCAGCAGCTTCTTTCGCTGTCTCCACCATCATTTTCCCATCATCACTAAACTTAATTTTCATAAAAGAACAAGCAGTTTTCACATTTGAATCAAATTTTACAGCCCTTGTTTGCACATTTTCTTTATTCATCATGTAAACCAACTCTTCCCCAAAATCATCATCCCCAACCTTGCCAATAACCGCTGCCCTGCCGCCCAATCGAACGTGCGAAATCGCCACATTTGACACCGGTCCACCGGGCGCCCGCCCGAATTCAGGCGGATTCCACTGCATCATTTTCCACCCTGAGTAGATATCAGGGTCCATTTGATGCTCTGAAACTCTCACACTTGGTAGAAATTCCTTTTGAACTGCTCCAAAGCAGCATATCAATGGCGGGTCTAAGTAAGGGAAATCCATCCCATCATCGAAATTCTCAACCTCAACCGAAATTAAGGTCGACCCATTTCCAATTTCGGTATTTTGAGAGGACTCATTTGATTTTTTGTGTGTTTTCTGAGGAGAGAGAGTGCTGGATTTTTTGCTGCCCTTGGGTCGACCGCGGCGTTTTGGGGGTTCTTGGACGCCATTGTTGGAGTCGGAAGAAGCTCTAATTTGGGTGGAGGTTGAAATTGGAGGGAAAATTGGAGGAAAACGTGAGATTGGTTTGGGAGAGAGGAAGAGGAAAGAGGGAATTGGTGAACGAATAAGAATTGCCATGGATGGGTTTAGATAGGGTTAATGGCTTTATGCCATTCTTGAAGTGGTTCAGTTTTGGCCTATTTGGGGATTAGGCAAGCTAAGACTTACTAAATTTTTTATTTTGAGAGTAGATACTTTAGATATTTTCTCTAATGTCATGTTCACTTCACTTAAAAAATATATAATATTTAGTAAAAAAAAAAATTAAGTAGAAAAAATAAGTTTAATTTAGTAAAAATAATTTCAGTTCAGCAAAAGTAATTTTATTTCAGTAAAAATCAATTATTTTTAAGAAGAAATATAATAGAAAATCAGTAAAAAATAATTTCACTTCAATAAAAATAATTTAAACTCAGCAAAAATATTTTAAATTCAGTAAAAATAATTTGGGTTTTTCCAAGCTATGCCCTTGAGGTTGTTGAGTCTAAGGTGTGTATATTTTTTCAAAATTACAAGTTGTGCCCTCAACTTCAGTTGTTTAGTCAACCGTACCCTTTGACGTTAACTCGTCGTTAGTAACTGTAAAAAAAATTAATAAAAAAAAAAAGTTAACTCTAACCCAATTTGAGCGTAAAATTTATCTCCAAAGTGGGGTAAATAACAGTTAACACAACTACTAACGTTGCGTTAATATTAGAGAGTATGATTGAATAAACACTTTAACTTGAAGGGCACATCTTGTAATTTTGAAAAAGCATGGGCAGTTGGGCACACCTTAGAAAATCAACAACCACGGGGCATAACCTAGAAAAACCCAAATAATTTCAATTCAACAAAAATAAGGTAAAGTGAAAAAGGCCTAATAATTTCTAATGATAAGTAAAAGAAGCATTAGAATGTCCTCGTGACAAACAAGAATTTTTACAAACTTCAAATCCATATTATCAATTACAAATAGCATACGTTAATGATTTTACTTTGTTGCATGGTGAAAGGAATGGTGTCCTTTGAACAAGTATATTATTCCGATAGAGAATTCGGAATTAATTAGAAAGCTAATTATTCAGTGAGGTCAAGTGATCGGAATGCCTAGTTGGAGGCCACTTCCGATCAGTAATATCAATGAATAATTAATATTACAGCTTAATCTTGACTGAACCCTTTAGGTCACATCCAATCGTGTGATCGAACCAAAACGACGAATTAATCCGAAGGGTTAAATGAATTAATAAGGTATTTACGAACAAAGACGTCATATTTCAAGCTTAGAGCGTCAAAGCCGAACGTCATAAGTCGAGTCAAATTTAGGTATCGACGAGACGGAAAATCGACCAAACATCAAGTCATTGCACGAGAAAATCCTATCCTCGAAATGGCCTAGCCTGATCGAGGGCTAGGATGGCTAGCATGGCTAGCCAAGGCCATTGTCGCAAGGCAAGGCTCGGCCACAAGCTCAGCATGCCTAACATGGCCGAGCATGTTGGCCAAGCATGCCTTGCACGCATCGCAAGGCTAGCATGGTTGGTCGCGCTCGCTAGGCAAGCCAGCAGCCAGCCTCGTACCATCGCAAGGCCAGCAGCAAGCAAATGCTCGCTGGGCCTCGCGCATGGTCGCAACAGATAGCTGGGCTCAACTAGCGCAAGCAATGCAGTAGCAATAGCAGCCCGCATTACGTGTAAGGCTTGCTGGCTGGTTGTAGGCCCAGCCAAGGTGCCAGCGAGGCTGCCTTGGCTGCCAAGGCAAGCCGCCAGCTTGCGTGCGCCTATTGGCTCGGTTGTGTTGTGAGAGTTTGGCTTGGGGAGCAAGGGAGGTGTGGTCCTCCCATGTGGTCCTCACCTAACCCCTTGCTCTCCTCATGCCACTTGTTGTTTGGTGATTCATTTGGCTTTAAATTTTATTTTAGAATTAAATTGAATTGTATTTTGCCTTTCAAACTCTCCCACATTGATGAGAGATGGGATTTCAAGGGCTCCTTTCCCTATAAATGCCAATCATTTGGTATTGGGAAAGGGCACTTGAGTTGGTGAACTTGAAGGGATCTCCAAAGAGAGAAAACCTTTGTTCTAATACTCTAAATAATTTTTGGTCTAGCCCCGACTAAACTTCGGGGTAGGGGCTGGGTTGGTTCGGTAGCGAGGGTGTTAGTCGTTGGAGGTTTGCGCGTTTGTGGGACTCTACGCTTTCAAGTCTGAGCTCTAAGTTAGAGCGAAGCACGCTATAAGGGTAATGATTCTTTCTCTCTCTTCTTGTTAATCCTGTAATTAAGGTTTTAATACATGCTTAGTTACTTTAATTTGTATGCGGATTTTGGGCGAGTTTCCTTCCACGTGGTGTTGGACATCACGAAACCCAACACGTGGTTTGGCTCTTGATAGATGTGATGGATACTCTAAGGGCCTGTTCCGATTTACTGAAAACAACTGAACTAAACTGAACTGAACTGATTGGGGCTGGACTGAACTAAACCGAAATGAATTGTTTATGAGAGAAAGAAATTATGAACTAAACTGAACTGATTGGAGCTGAACAGAATAGGTCCTAAGTATGAATTTAGGCAAGATGAGAACGCATATCTTCAATAATATGCTCTGTCAAGGGACTTCCCTAATGCCTTTATTAAGTTGATGGCTAAGCTAGTAAATTATCACCTTTAACTTGAATGTTATGAATGCTTTGTTGAATTTTTCGTTACTCTTTTATGAAGAGAGGTAGCTTTTGCAACAAATGTCTTGGTGTTGAGATTTAATGTACATTTTTTGTGGTGCTTTATTAGGTGTAGTAATATTTCAGTTAAATACAAAATCGTGATCTTGCTTCGTGCAAATGTAGTCTTTTTTTTTTAATTAATGGGATGTTCTAGAATTCTTTGGTTCAATTACAGTTGTGGAAAGCGTAATTGTTTCATTTTGATGATTGCAAAGGGGGTAAATAGTTAACGAAATGCTCTTCCTCTTGTGAAGGATAGTTTGAAAACCAAAAATGTTGTGAAATATTTGCCATAGAAAAATTTAGGTTTAGGAGGGATGTCTATTTTCCAAATTCAATAATGGGACCAGTTATTGTATTCTGGATTAAGATTATGAGCTAACCAAATAGTTGACATACTAAGAAGTCTTCATTGTAGTGACTAGTGAGCCCCCATATGGGAGTGTCTAGCATATCATTTTCTTTCCCATATATTATAGACGATGTATGTATCAACGATAAAATACTTTTAAAACTTTTAATATTGGTGTTTAATCAAACGAAAACTGGAAAAACATTATTAAAAGACGTTAAGTTATAATACCATAGTAGCGAGGACGTGCACCCTATCTACCCTGTTCGTATCAACCTTATGGATACCACACTATGTGAAGGACTTGCTAATGTATTAAATCTAATCTACTGTCCGCTTAAGAGTGATAATTGTGTCCCGTTCATGTCTCAACATTTGAACCAAATTTATGGAGTCGGAAAATATGGTAACGAGCTACAACAATCTATGTGTTCTCAATTTCAGACCCCATTTCATACCTTTAAGATAGGCATTCATCTCTGCATGTAACGCTGAATGTGTTAACCCATAAGCAGCACCTCCCAGGTTTCCTCGTTCACCGATCTCCTCTTTTTCCAAACACCACCCCGGTAATATTAGTTGAATAACATAAACAATCCAAACATTAATAAAATGTTTTGTTTAAAAACAAAGAAATCAAATTTGACATAAGAAGAACATGTTTGTTTCTTCAAAAAAAAAAAAAAAAAAAAAAGAACATGTTTGATAAATCACTTTTTTTAGTTTGATATTCACTTTTTCAAACAAGTTGTTCACAAAATTAACGAGTCCATAAATTCAAAACACTAATCTAATTGATATGGTAGAAAGATTCATATAAAATAAAGATGAAAGTTGAATAATAGCTACCAGCTCCAGTTAACCCATTTTACTTAAAGAGATTAAATATTCTGCGCAAAATTGTTTATTATCTTAAAAAACTGAGCTTTTTCATAACTAAACTTATTTGAAAATTTGTAAATATTTCTCAAACGAATCAAGTCATTTGCATCCAACATCCTTATTTAAAGCATCGCACCCTTACCTATAAAGTTTTTCTAATCTGGGAAATCCTGGAAAACTTATTGATTCTATCCGTCAATACTATATACCCGATGGAAAACTATGTATAAGAGAGAGATTGATTAGGAGCCATGAAGGGATAGACTGATAGACATGAAAAAGAAATATGAGTATATAAACCCAATACACTGGAAGAAAGGAAAACTTACACAGTGGCAAAAAAAAAAAAAAGGTCTTTAAGAACTAATAGAAATACACAATATGAAGCTTATGTTCATATAGCTCTCTCCATTACAAGGCATTTTCGGTCTCTAGGTATTATCATTGAGCTTTTACATTTTCTTCCCGAAATGTTTTCCATAACCACACAATCTGCAACAAACCACCATTTGCTACATGCAAAAGGAATATCCAGGGCCGACTAGCAAAATTTGTGGAGATTAACTTAAGGACAACAAATGCACAAGCAATCCCCAGAAAATTCAATTTTATTCCTTTCACCTGCACAAAAGAATATGCATGATATTACCATTATACGAATCAAGAAAATGAGTGATGTAATATGAATGCATGTGTGCAGTACCTCTCGCTGTTGAAACATTTCTTCAAATGTCTCTTTCATGAAATCAGACAGCAAGCAACCAGCAAAAAGACCCAAGGGCATCACTAATTCCTGATTCCTAGATATAGTAACTACAACATCTGACACAAAGCTCAAGAAAAACCAAGCCATGAAAGACCATTTAAATGCTTCCAGGCCGAGAAACAGCAACCGATGCAGCACTTGGTGTTCAGCTTTCTTCCATGGAAATTCCTTTACTGAATCAGGCAGAGATTTCCATAATTGCTCCTTGAATCCTTTCATTTGCATCTTTGACTTGTCAGGTAACTCAAATTGTGCAACAACTTTTCTTGTTGAAGGATTGTAAGAGATATTCTTCCAATGGGAATTACGAGTCAATTTAAATGTTTGAGGTTGAAATGGAGACGCACTTTGATATTTTATCTGTCAGAGTAT